TGTTAATTTCGAAGTTATGTTGTGTGTTAAATTCTCTTGGGCGAGCTTGAAGTATTGAATGAAAACTTACTTTTTGTTTGGTTAGTAGGAATTTCTTGTTTGCTAAGGGATTAGTCTAAGTTAGACAGAGAAGTATATATGTTGGACATGATCCTTCTTCATTTGTGAAGAAGAAACTCGAAGAAGCATCACCCAATTTGTGATTCTTGAGTTGAATTTATTTCAAAGTTATGTTGTGTGTTAAATTTCCTTGGGCGAGCTTGAAGCACTGAGTGGAAACATACCTTATGTCTGGTTAGTAGGAATTTCTTTCTTGTTAAGGAATTAGTCAAAGTGTGATCGAGACGTACATTCGACATGTTCCTTCCTTATCTGTGAAGAAGAAACTCAAAGAAGCATCACCCAATTTGGGATTCTTAAGTTGATGTTTATTTCAAAGTTATGTTGTGTGTTAAATTCTCTTGGGCAAGCTTGAAGCATTGAGTGGGAACTTACTTTTTGTCTGGTTAGCAGGGGTTTCTCACCTATTGAGGAATTAAGTCCAAGTTAGATCGAGAAGTAGTTGGACATGTTCCTTCCTTATTTGTGAAAAAAAAAAAACTTGGAGAAGCATCACCCAATTTGGGATTCATGAGTTGATGTTTATTTCAAAGTTATGTTGTGTATTAAATTCCTTTGGGTGAGTTTGAAGCGTTGAGTGGAAACTTACTTTCTGTCTGGTTAGTAGGAATTTCATGCCTATTAAGGGATTAGTCCAAATTAGACCGAGGTCCGAGAAGTATGTTGGACATGTTCCTTCCTTATCTATGAAGAAGAAACTCGAAGAAACATTACCCAATTTGGGGTTCTTGAGTTAACGTTTATTTTGAAGTTATGTTGTGTGTTAAATTCCCCTGGGCGAGCTTGAAGCATTGTAATTGCAGAACTAACAAAGTATTTACATTGCATTCTTGTTATTTATTCATCTATGAAATAAGACATGGTCTTGGAATTATCACCGACTAATTCAAGTAGAAAATACAAACACATGATAGTTCAGGTACATAAAAACTCGTAAAAGAAAAGGCGAGACTTTAAATATGTTCTTGATCATCATCTCCTTAATTTTTCTTGTACTATCACTTATATACTCCCTTTGTTATAATATATGTGATGCATCTTAATTTAGAATTGAGTTTAAGAAATATTTTTTAAAAATTGTAATCTAAATAAATAATAAGTATTTGTGTGGTTATATATCACGATCAAAATAGAAGTTAGAAGTTAAACTGTTTCTAAATAAACCATATTGTTCTTTATTTAGACTTTATTTCGAGACAAAAATAAAATTTATAAGGGCCTAACTGTAGTTTTACCAAACTAAAAAGGATGAAATTGCAAATTGTCCATTTTACACCATGGAAGCTGAACTATGGAAGCTTGTCTCTTCAGTTTCTTCCAACACCTCCATTGAGAAGACAAATCGACCAGAGTGCTTCACATTCATCCTCTCTGGTTCTTCATCTTCTTCTCTGTTTCTTTCCTTTCTTTTTATTTCTTCTTACTTATTGTTTTCTTCATTGTTAACACAAACTCTGTGCTTTTATGGTTCTTGCTCTTTAGGATTTTGATATCAAGATTGCATTTTTATCTTTTGGGTATGCTTTAATATGATGAAATTGAAGTGGGGTTTGCTTAAAACTTGATTGGGTTAATGTTTTTCAGGGATATGGTGTGTTGGTAGGTGTAGGTCTATCATGGATGTGTTTCAGTAGTGGCGGAACCAAGATTTTCACTAGCGTTCAATTGACTCCACTTGAAATGGGCATAATTTGTTTAAGTTTTGATAACTAAAATCAACACTTATTTTACTTAGGTTTGATGCACTGGTCTGGTCTTTCGGAAATAGTCTCCGTGTCTCCACGAGGTAGTGGTAAGGTTTGGGTACACTATACCCTCCCCAGATCTCACTTAGTGGGATTTCACTGGGTTTATTGTTGTTGTTGATAACTAAAACAGCATTTAGGTGTTGAAGGAAGTGTCAAGTGTTACCTAGTGATGTATGTATGGTGTTACAATAGAAAATTATGTTTCTATATAGGAAAAGACTCTTTTGTCAGCAAAAACTAGATTTGCAATTAAAGTTTTGTCATTTGTTTGGGTGATTAGTAAATCAAATCATGCTGGGGAGTAGGGGATTATAGAAGTCGATCGTCTCTTCAACTTAAAGTTATATTAGTAAATCAAAATATATAATGCATCGTTACTTTATTCTTAAGAGTTGTGGCATGTTTATGTTTAGTGTGTACTCTGACCGGGCAGTTTGGAGATTCCTTAAATATTGTATTCTTGTTTATTTTCTGCAGATTCTTGTTGCAATCATTTGATATTATGCCTCAGAATGGGAAAAAGCAACTTTTACCTCCCTCTGATGTACTTAGCAACCTTCCCGATAGTGTAATTGATGACATTCTAACGAGGTTGCCTTTACGAAATGTTGTGAGGACAAGCATCTTATCGAAGAAATGGAGATATAACTGGTGCAGACTTCCACAACTGAAACTTGATCAAACACTTTGGAAAACAACAGAGGACTTGATGTCCCCTACAATTGGATTTACTATCATTCTCTGTCGCCTCTTTGCCGTTCATGCAGGACCAATTACCAAATTTACCCTCGACATTCCTGATAACATGTCCTACTATTGACCACTTGATATATTTCCTCTCTAGGAATGGAATTCAACATCTTGTTCTTAAATTTCCATTAGGTAACCCGTACAAACTGCCTTCTTCATTTTTCATAAGTTCGAGTTTGATGCATTTGACTCTCACAAGATGTCAAATAAGTCCTCCACCGATCTTTAAGGGATTTGATAGGTTAATTAACCTAAAACTAAGACGTGCCATAATTTCTGAATCGCTTGGAAGTTTGATATCCCATTGCCCGTTGCTTGAGAATTTGGAGCTGACGTATCTAGACAATTCCAACCCTGTGGAAATTAGTGCTCCCAAGCTAAAGTCATTTATCTTCAGGGGCAATATACATATTATACATCTAAACAACGTTCCTCTTCTTTCCAATGTTTCATATAAGCCTAAAGAATTTTCTGTAGAGGCAGAGCATGATCTTCGCAAGATTTTTGAGTTTATTCCTGCTCTCAAGAATCTCTGGTGGAAACACGACTTTGTCCATGTAATGTTACTTAATGACTTAATTGTAATGCATTTTCATAGATGGTATCTTTTGAGCTTTGAGTCATCCTGATTTTTGACGTTTTCTTCCTAGGACGTGCATGTTGGACCAGCTGAAGTTATACCAACAAGGCTCCCCTATGCTCTTAACCGTCTTAAACGCCTTAACATATGTTGCATTACTCTGGGAGAATTCTTTGATCTTTCCTTTGCTCTTTGCTTGATAAGAAGCTCCATGTTTTGGCCTGACTATTGTGTGTTTAAGGATATCCAGACGAGGAAGACGGTTGGTTATGGTACTAGACGAGAGCAGTTGTATTACTTGGATTTGGAGTCAAAAAGTTCTAATCAGTTGTGCCAAGCATTATCGGTTGATGTGTTTAGTTGTGAGGACAAAACAAGGAAATCTAATATTTGGCTATGGCATCGACGATTGGACATGCTTCTTTTGGATATCTTAATAAATTGTTTCCTAAGTTATTTACAAAATTTGATGTTTCTGATTTCCATTGTGATGTTTGTGAACTTTCAAAGAATCACCGTGTGTCTTTTTCACCAAGAATGAATAAAAGCTCAATTCCTTTTATGACTATACATTCAGATGTTTGGGGTCCATCCAAGGTGAATACGTTAGGTGGATCACGTTTGTTTGTTACTTTTGTAGATGATTGTACTAGAATGACTTGGGTGTGTTTGATGAAGTTCAAAAGTGAAGTGAATTTATTGTTTCAAAAGTTTCATAAAATGATTTGCACTCAACATAATGCCCAAGTAAGAGTTATACGTAGTGACAATGGGGGAGAGTATTCCAGCTATGAACTTGAGCGATATTTAGAAGCACATGGAATTGCTCATCAAACTACTTGTCCCAATTCACCCCAACAGAATGGGGTAGCCGAGAGAAAATAGTCATTTATTAGAAGTTGTTCGTGCTCTATTGATTGAAGCTCATCTGCCACAATGTTATTGGGGAGAAGCACTCACTTGTGCAACATATTTAATTAATTGAGTGTCTTCTAGCAGAATTAACTTTAGAACATCATCTCAAGCTCTTGCTGAAGCGGTGATTGCACCGACAGTCCCAAATTTGACTCCTCGTGTTTTTGGTTATGTAGCATCTGTACATCTTCATAAGCATCAACGCGACAAGTTATCCCCTCATGCACTGCGGTGTTTTTTTTTGGGATATGCTACTCATAAAAAAGGGTACATATGTTTTTATCCTCCAACTCAACGAATGTTTGTTACAATGGATGTTGTTTTTCATGAAGAGTCTATATATTTTTCTAATAAAACAAAACTCCAAGGGGAGGACGTGAAGGATATTTTGTCTCTAAATTATAAAATTGATACTTTCTGCACCTAGTAACCAGATGAATCAAGTTTATGTGGTGGTGAACATCAAGAAATGGGACATAACCAAGATATGGTAGAATCAGATTTGGGTACTGCTGAAAATCAAGAAATTGAAGAAGAAGATTTATGTGCTACTGGAAATCAAGATATTGGAGAAGTTAGTCCAATATCACATGAACCCCTCACCCAACAAGCAACTGATGTACCAAATCAATTGTCGCCAACTCAGGGATGTTTCTAATTTTGTACCTGAACCATCAGTCAAACAACTATCACCACAACACAATAGAGATCTTACTAAACCCACCTATGAACCAGAAATTTCTGGTAAGACTAGATATCCATTGAGCCATTTTGTGTCTAACCATCGTTTGTCGGAATCAAATAAGTCATTTGTAAATCAATTATTTGTTGTATCTATTCCTAACAATGTGCAAGAAGCCTTAATTGATCCCAGGTGGAAAGCAGCTATGGATGAAGAGATGAAATCCTTGAAAAAAAATGATACATGGGAACTTGTCGATTGTCCACCAGGAAAGAAAACAGTTGGATGTCGATGGGTGTATACAGTCAAGTACAAAGCAAATGGTATGATAGAACGATTCAAAGCGAGATTGGTGGCTAAGGGATATACTCAGACCTATGGAATCGACTATATCGAAACATTTGCACCTGTTGCAAAAATCAACACAGTTCGAGTGTTATTATCCTTGGCTGCAAATTTTGATTGGCCACTACAACAATTTGATGTGAAAAAATCTTTTCTACATGGTGAGTTGTCTGAAGAAGTCTATATGGACTATCCTCCAGGGTACGAGATACCGAGATTACATGATTATAGAATATGCAGATTGAAGAAATCACTTTATGGATTGAAACAATCACCAAGAGTGTGGTTTGGAAAATTCACCAAATCTATGAAGGCATTTGGCTATACCCAAAGCAACACTGATCACACTTTGTTCTTGAAGAGACAACAAGGTAAAATTATTGCCCTTATTGTATATGTTGATGACATGGTGGTGACTGGAACTGACCCTGAAGAAAGGAAAGCTCTCCAAAGCTACCTGTCTAAAGAATTCAAGCTGAAAGACCTTGGTCCATTAAAGTTTTTCCTTGAAATTGAAGTGTCTAGATCATCTAAAGGAATTTTCTTATCCCAAAAAAAATATACTTTAAATTTGTTAAAGGAAACTGGCATGACAGCTTGCCAACCAGCTGATACACCTTTTGAAGAAGGCCTGAAATTAATTGTTGAACCTAATCAAATTCCAGTTGATAAAGGAAGATATCAGAGACTTGTAGGAAGATTGATGTACCTAGCACACACAAGACCAGACCTTGCTTATTCTTTAAGTGTGGTAAGTCAATTTATGCATAATCCTGGAGAGCAACATATGAATGCAATTATGCGTATCTTGAAATATTTGAAGTCTGCTCCAGCAAGGGAATTTTGTTCACAAAATGTACAGATCCTCTAGTGATAAATGTATATACAGATGCTGACTGGGCTGGAACTATCGATGACAGACGGTCTACTTCAGGATATTTCACTTTTGTGGGAGGAAATCTTGTTACATGGAGAAGCAAAAAATAAAATGTCGTTGCTCTCTCAAGTGCGGAGGCGGAATTCGGAGGAATGGCACTTGGAATATGGGAAGCATTATGGTTGAGACTTCTCTTAACAGATTAGGGTTATCCACCTAAGGCACCAATCTAACTATATTGTGATAATAAGGCTGCACGTGATATTGCACATAATCCGGTACAACACGATCGTACCAAACATGTAGAAGTAGACAGGTTTTTCATCAAGGATGGAAAGATATTAGAGTTACCTAAGATTCGATTGGAGGACCAATTGGCTGATCTTCTTACTAAAGCAGTTTCAAGTAAAATGTTCTCCAAGTTTGGGAGCAAGTTGGGCATGTTCGACATCTATGCACTAACTTGAGAGGGAGTGTAGAGATATTTTAGGACTTGATTCTGTAATCTTTTAAAATAGAAACTCGATTCTAGTAATCTTTGTAAAATAGGAAGATATTAATTATTTCCGTATATTGTAACTTAGCCGTAGTTATATAATCATTTACATGCCTCCTTTGAGAAATAATAGAATACAAAAAGAAATATTATGTTCAAGATTTGAACTGATATTACTTGAGCATACGTCCTCCACCAGTCTTTAAGGCATTTGATAGGTTTCTTAGCCTAGATCTAAGACGTGTTACAATTCAAGCTGAGGTCATTCTTCTTCTTTGGAGATAATACATTTTATACATCTAAAAGATGTCCCTCTTCTTTCCAATGTGTCATATGAGCCCACAGAAGTTTCTTTAAAGACGGGAACATAATCTTGCTAACACTGCTTTTAAAGTTATCCTCCGAGAATCCTAATTGGAATTGGACACGTCTTGTAGAGTCCAGATTTTATACAAACAGTGGTCAGGCGGGTTAGGGTTGGAGTTCCAAGGGAGAGCAGAGCAAGTTTGGCCGAATCCAATAACTTTGACTCAAAATATAGGTATGACAGAGCCTTTACAGATACTCAAGATTATGTACATTGTTGAGATGAAGCTAATATGATTAATTAGAATATGCAAATTCTGATAGTAACGTTACTGTAGTTTGATGTTAAATTTTGCTGAATTTGAAACCTTTTTTCCATGTAGCTATTGATTTCAGTTGATAATATTGTTACTTATCAGTAGTAAAAGATAAATTCACCTTTTCTTTTATTCTTAGAGTTGTAGCATGCTAATTTAACCATGTGAAAAGCAGTTGTGTGTACGGTGATCGGATAGTGTTTGGAGATCCCTTACCTATTTTGTGTTCTTGTTTATTTTCTGCAGATTCTTGTTGCCAATCATTTAATATTATGCCTCAAAATGAAAAAAAAACAACTCGTACCTCTCTCCGATGTACTTAGCAACCTTCCCGATAGTGTAATTGATGACATTCTAATGAGTTTGCCTTTACGAGATGCTGTGAGGACAAGCATCTTATCAAAGAAATGGAGATATAATTGGTGCAGACTTCCACAACTGAAACTTGATCAAACACTTTGGGAAACAGCAGAGGACTTAATATCCCCTACAATTGGATTTACTAACATTCTTTGTCACTTCTTGACCCTTCATACAGGACCAATTACCAAGTTTATCCTAGATATTCCTGATATAGAAACATGTCCTAATATTGACCACTTGATATATTTCCTCTCTCGGAATGGCATTCAACATCTTGTCCTTAAACCTCCATTTAGTAGTAAACCGTACAAATTGCCTTCTTCATTCTTCACATGTTCGCAATTGAGGCATCTGTTTCTCAGGGAATGTCTAATACGTCCTCCACCGGTCTTTAAGGGATTTGATAGGCTAATTAGCTTAGAACTAATTGAAGTCAAAATTTCTTCTGCATTGCTTGGAAGTTTAATCTCACATTGCCCGTTGCTTGAGCATTTGGTGCTGCAGCATGACGCAATTACAGATCACATTGAAATTAGTGCTCCCAAGCTGAGGTCATTTATCTTCACTGGCAGTATAAAGTTTTTACATTTAAAGAATGCCCCTCTTCTTTCCAAAGTTTCATATGAGCCTACAGAATTTCGTGTAAAGGCAGAACATGATGTTTGCAAGATTTTTGAGTCTATTCCTGCTCTCGAGAATCTCTGCTGGATTAACGATTGTGTCCAGGTAATATTGCTTCGCAACTTGCATTTTCGTAGATATACCATCTTTTGGGCTTTGAGTCATCCTGATTTTTGACATTTTCTTCCTAGGACGTGCGTGTTGGACCAGCTGAAGTTATACCAACAAGGCTCCCTTATGCTCTTCACTGTCTTAAACGCCTTTACATATCTGGCATTACTCTGGGAGAATTCTTTGATGTTTCGTTTGCTCTTTGCTTGATAAGAAGCTCTCCAAATTTAGAAGAAATTGAAATTGAGGTTGTTAATGATGTTTCCTTTTCTCCTTTTTCATATGTATTGACTTTCTTATTCTGTATTCTCATCTGATGGGTTTTTCTTGATCCTTTCTTAGATGTATGTTGTTAGTGATGAGGACTATTTTGTACATGTGCCCCGGGAGGCTGTTGATGAGATTCATGCTAGCTTCTCAGATATGACATTTAATCACCTGAGGACGATTAAGCTTAGCAATGTAGCAGGAGCAGGGGCTGAAATGCAACTTATCAAGGTTTTATTGGCCTAGTCTCCAGCACTGGTCAAAATGGTAATCGATCCCTATAGAATGAAAGCAGAAAAATCTCTCAAAGTACTCGCAGAGATAACAAATTTTCAGCGGGCATCATCTAAAGCCGAAGTTGGATACAATGTAGATTAGTATCCATATCACAATCCTTCTTGATCTTAACATGTCTTTAATCAGATCATGATCTTTGGCTAAAATGTTTTGAAATCGTAAAAAGAATGTAGATGCAGCAGTAAGGCTGTTGTTTTGCATTTGCCACTGTGAAAACTGTATAAGTTTGGGAACATAAGTGAATCTGGATGGATGTTTTTGATTAATCTGTTTCAATGTCTGTTCTTTGAATGATCTATGGGATGAGACTTTGGTTGGTTACTGATCTTTTTAATATATTCATTGTGGTCCTCATGGTCATTTTGCATTGTTTTTTATTTGATATGATCATGACATGAGTTGAGCGTAAATGGAATAGTGAGGATTCATATAGTCGATTTCAACTAGTTGTTTTATGAGAGTCGTATTTATTTAGTTGGACGTTGTAGACACATTGTTCTGAATAGTGAGAAAGAATGAAATTCGATCAAATCCCTTAATCTTAATCGTTAGTAAACAATACCCCTTTTAAATGGAATAGATAATCCCTTTGAACAATATTTTTCAATGAGAATTATGATACAATATTTATAAGCTGAAATTGAATTTCAACAATATTATTCTTACAAGGTCAAAGTTACAATTCCACATCCCAGAAAAATTATCACTCAAAACAGGAAGAGAAAAAAAAAGAAGGGTTGGGGGTGGGGTTGGGGAGGTCAGTTGCTCATAAATCTTTTTCCTATACAGTCTGAACATATCCCATTCCTTTATGCAGCTTCCATATGATCATATATACATGCTCAATCGAACCCTACCACGTCTGGTATATAAGTGGAGAAGAGTAAGGGGAGGTCTATCATCCACTGAGTTATGAACCGTGCACTATTGACCCTCGAGGACTTCTCGGTTATCAAAAGAAGAAATAAAAAACAAACTCAATAACATACATATATTACTTCAGCATTCTATCTCAGATTCCCTTTTTTGTTTCATCTAATGGACTATCTTGTATAATCTACATCACCTTGGTCCTGATAATTCCATTGCTTGAACAAGCAATGAAGAATCATCAGTAAGATCAGAATATCTTTCTGAAGAGGAGAACTCATTGGCTCTGCAGCGCGTAGATTCTGCTCTTTGAGAAGCTTCCCATTTCTCTGCAAGTCCGTCTCCTTCGAGCATTCTTACCACTTCTGATATTTTTGGTCTATGACTAGGGTGATACTGAGTGCATATTAGAGCTACTTGTACCATTTCCTCAAGCTCGATCCGATCATATTTGTCCTTTAAGTCCTTGCTCACCAGCAAATCAAGCTTTTTCTCCAGGTGAATCTTCTTTACCTGCAACAAATATGCACATTGATATTATCAACCCCAACAAGAATCGAGATACTCTCTCCGTTTCGTTTTGTTTGTCTTGGTTTGATCAAGCACAAAGTTTCAGTATGTTAATACGACTTTTGCATCTTGTCATCAAATACCCTTTGAAGGTAAAATAGAATGTTGAAATAAAAAACATACTTAGTAGATATAGAATGGTCGTAGGCATTTTTTTTTTCTAAACAGACTAAAACGAAAAGTAAGAAAAATTGAAACGGAGGGTTTTGTCACATCTTGGAATGTGTAATACTTACCCAATCAAGCATAATGCCTTTCTGATTTACCGCTTTACCAAATTCTAGAGCTCTCTGGCCAGATATCAACTCTAGCAGGAGAATTCCAAACCCGAAAACATCTGTTTTATCAGAGGACTGTCCTGTAGAGAGATACTCAGGAGCAATATGTCCTACAGTTCCCCTAACTGCAGTTGTGACATGTGAATCGCGATGATCCAATAGCTTTGCCAATCCAAAATCTCCCACGACAGCCTCACAGTCATCGTCGAGCAATATGTTTGCTGCCTTCACATCCCTGTGGATAATCTTTGGATCACACTGCTCATGTAGATATAGTAAACCTCTTGCAGCTCCTAATGCAATTCTTTTTCTTGTAGTCCAGTCCAACGGTGGCTTGGCTGCAAGAAACAACAGAAATAGAGAAATCTACCATCAGGTATCTGAAGTCCACTAGTTCGACTATTCCGGTTCACACAGGTAAGCCTACTATGGTTAAGGATGACGGGATCTCAACCATCCCACCATATTTAAGAATACTTGCAGAATCTTTAGTTCTCTAAGGTTGTTTCTTTTTACCTTTGAGACGAGAAGCAACGCTTCCATTAGACATGTAAGGGTAAACCAGAAGCCTTTCAGTTGGTGTCATGGAGAACCCATACAAACGTAGGAGATTGCGATGCACTGCCAAGCTGATCATTTCAACTTCTGTTTGGAATTGTTTGTCTCCTCCGATTGCATTTCCATCTTTGAGCCTTTTTACAGCAACAATCGTGCCATCACTAAGACAACCTTTGTACACGTTTCCAAAACCGCCTTTTCCCAGTATCTTCTTGTTGCTGAAGTTGTTTGTGGCAACTTGAAGTTCCCTAAATTGGAACCTCCTCAAGTTTCCCAAACACACTTGTTCATGATGTTGTTCTGAAATTATCAACAAGCATGATCCTCTTGGTTAAAGCAAGACATTACTAGCATCTCGAGATTCGAGCAATATAGGTTTTAGCTGCATATCATACTCACCATTGATGTCAAAGAAAATTTGCTTGTTGTGCTTTTGTCTCCACCATAGAAATATTCCAAACCCAACAATTAGTAGGCAGATGCATCCAAGACTTGTCCCAAAGGCTAAGGCAATTTTGTGAGTTTTAGATCTTCCAAAAGGCTGAGCATCTGAGATATAACAAGAGACTTTTCAGTTGTGAATAGTACAACACATAAACTATCCAAGACTTCATGATGAATCCTTATAATAGAGTTGTAGTTAATCATAACGACGTTGAAAGCAGGAGACTTGACAACAACCAAGATTTGTGGAATAGTCGAGGGGCACACAAGCTGGCTCGAAAAAAAACTTAGGAGGATGATTCAAGATTCTTACTTTGTGAGTTGTTCAAAGTGAAGGGCAAAGGCATGGATGTTGTTGTTCCATTGCATTCTGGTTCTTTTCCAGTTGCACATATAATAGGATTTCCCAAAAGGCTGCATCAATGAGAGAAAAAATGATTTATTTTCTCTAATCTTTAGCAAAGGGAAAAAAAATGAAATTCAAAGAATTGTTCAAGAAACTTACTTGAATGTTTTAGCTAGAAGCCTTGGCACAGGACCACTCAAATTATTAAAAGACAAGTCTCTAGAAAAAAACAACAAAAATCCCATCAAAATATACTCATGAAAACAGAAAGCAGTTAGGAAAAAGGTGCACAAAGCATTCCACGTTCACGCAAGGTCCGGGGAAAGGCTACACCCCAAAGGGTATACTATAGGCAGCCTACCCCTAACTCGAACACGTGACCTATATAGATAACAAGGAGACAAGTTTACTGTTGCTCCGAGGCTCCCCTTCAAGTATGAGAAAATAAACAAAACTAAATGAAGCTAAGGAACTTACATAAGAGTAAGTTGAGTCATATTAGACAATTCCAAAGGAACAGCTCCACTAAGACTATTGTTGTTTAGTCTCCTATAACACAATTGAAAAAGAAAAAAAAAACCATAATCATTAGCTTTTTATAATTCAAGAACTCATTTTTATATCAAAATCTTTAAAATTTTCTCTGCTTACAAGTATTGAAGGCTTTTTAATTGAGCTAAAGATGAAGGGATTTTCCCAGTGAGTTGATTATCAGAAAGATCAATTGTATTAAGTTTCTGAAGCATTCCAAGTTCAGTTGGAATTGGTCCTGTTATATTATTGCTCTGCAGAAGCCTGTTTAAAAAAAAAGAAGTTAAAAAGTAATATTAGTACTACTATTTTCTATATTCTTGATTCAAATAATCAATCATTTGAAATTTCATTATTTTTTCTTCATATAAAGTACTCACAGTAGATCCAAGTGAGTCAAGTTGTGGATGTATGGTGATATTTTCCCAGACAAACTTTGTCTTGAACAAGCCCTGCACAATTCAAGAAAACTTGTAAGCACTTTCATCCTTAACTAGAGGTCTCGGGTTCAAGTATTAGGAATAGAAAAGGTTTTGTTAGTCGGGCTCCAATGCAGATACCGGACAATCAGGTATACTTACAAGCCAGTGACAAATTTATCATTTGAACAAGTGATCATAGTCCAGCTACATGGATCAACAGAACTTTCATCCCAATTCAAAACACCAAGTGGATCATGTAATGAGTTCTTGATCTCCATTAAAGCTTGCACTGTCCAAAATCAACATAACAAGAAAGTTAAAATAGATGAAATTCTTGAAATATTTTAAATTTGTTCAAATCTCATTCCTTTCAAAAAAAATCAGAAACCCCTTATGAATTTTTCACAAAAAAGTATCAAAGTTTCAATCTTTATGAGAACTAGCCTTCATAATCAACTCCAACAGGGGTAAACATATTTCAAAATTCTTAACATTTCTAAAATTTGATCAAAATCTCATTCCTTTCAAAAATTTCAAACACCCCATATGATTTTTTCAAATAAAAAGTCATAAAGTTTCAATCTTCATGAGAAAAACCACAAGAACTAACCTTCATAATCAACTCCAACAAGGGTAAGCATATTTCAAAATTCTTGATATTTCTAAAATTTGATCAAAATCTCATTCCTTTCAAAATTTTCAAACACCCGATATGATTTTTTCAACAAAAAAGTCATAAAGTTTCAACCTTTATGAGAAAAACCACAAGAAACAACCTTCATAATTAACACCAACAGGAGTAAATCATACTTTTAAATTCTTGATATTTTCTAATATGGTCAATCTCATTCCAATAATGTCTCAAAGTTTCAATCTTTATTAAAAATAACAAGAACTAACCTTCATAATTAACACCACCAGGAGTAAGCA